TTCTTCTAACCTAACGGTATAACAGCTTCAAATAGTCCCATTGTTGTAAATACGTTTCATAAACACTCAGCGACACAATAAGCTATTGACGATGTAGACGTTAAGCAATAGAAAATTCTCCATAAAATCCTATTCTTAATATTTTGTGCAATGGAGCATAGCGCACCCCAATTACATCATATTTGTCCTAATATCAGGCCCCGTGCTTTGTTTTGGCGCATGCCATGACTACTAAATTACATCCCATCAATTTTTATTTTATTTTTAATTTTTATATGTATAATAATGTTCATTTACTTATTATTTACACCTTCGGAAATAAAGATTTATTTGTGAGACCTCCCTCGTAAGAAATGAGACGAAGAATGCATATTGCTATCAGAAGTAAGACAAAGATCGCGTTGGAAAAACAGATACGCATATTCGTCTATACGTTGATCAGTTGAACCATTTCATATACAAGTTTTGCTTGGTAGGGTTTATTGGTGTGCAAAAGCGACGGAAGGGAAAATGGCCTTCACAAACCAACAGAATTGGCTGTCTAGGTATAGTAGGAGCCAAATGTATTGACCGGTCAAGGCCATTTCTCCTCTGTCGCTTTTTGGTTCCACTCTTACCGTTCGGTAGTTAGCAGTCACCCTATAAAATATTTCCATTCGCCTTTAAACTACACCTGTCGTGCCCTCATAAAACATAAAACGGAGAGAGCATATTTCCAAAAAAAAAAAGGGAAGAGCATGTTAAGGTGCGTTTAGACCGAACGGATGAATGCTCCTTGCCCTTCACTTCCAAAAGTTCTTCATACATTTGTTTATGCTCGTTTGAACTTCAATTTTGTCGAAGTGGGGGGCAAACGAGCAGTCGTTCGTTTTTGTTTAAACACACCTTTACTGGTAGCAGTAAAACAAAGATCGCGTTACCTATCTGTATGCCTATGCCGAACCACCACACATACAAGTCTCGCTCGGTAGTGTTCACCGGTATGAAAAACCTACGGCGGAGGGGGAACGACCATGACCGGCCGATACATTTGGCCCGTGCTATAGCAGAGACCTTCGGTTACGATTCATCACACGTGTAGAGACACCCAATAGCCAAAGGCTACTCGAAATTTTGCTGATAAAAGTTCCAATGATCCAAACGATTCAGGTGGCAAGATAGGTGCCTCAATAAACTTCTCAACCCTTTCGCTGCTGTAGATTCTAGAACGTAACGTGCGTGGCAGACGGTAGAATCTTTTGGTTTGGTCATCTCGAAATTTCATTTATTAAAATGAGGAGTAGGTGTGCAAAGGATAAAATTAAGGATTAAATGAAGTTGGGAGGGCGCCAAAAGGTTCCAACACAGCACAGTGCGAGGAAATTTTCAAAGCGGTCTATAGGCACCGACAGCAATGAAAGGGGTTAAAGTCGTATACGTCGGGGATGTCATTCAGACTTGCAGAGAAACCTGCCGCTGCCCTCCGTTGCACGCGACAGTTTGGTTGTGGCGAGGAAAAAGCGTGTGTTGGTAAGAGTTGTTCGTCTTTTCTCGCCCAGTGTAGACAAAAGAGAACGGTGTTGCTGTAAGAGCCCGTGCAGAGGAGAATGCGAGGGAAGCTACTGATCAATGTACGGATTCGAAAAGGAGAGACGGGAGGAAATCCATACGCGGTGGCTGTAAGATAGCACGCAGTAGTGCTGGCCGCTCGCCCGTTTTCATTCATGATTTCGCGAGGGCGATGCTGACGCAGTGCTCTCTGTGTACCACCTGCGTCCTCTTTTGTCGCCACCGCCGGTACCGTTAAGCCACCCTACCTTTTGCCCCCTTTCGTTCCCGGTGTTACCGCCCTACCACGTTTAGGGATGTACACCGGCGCGCAAGTGTTATTGTTCTTCGCAGGGAGAACAGGCAAGGGCTCTAAAGCTAAAAGGTACAATTAGAATCGAGCGCGTGACCCCGCTCGGGGAGACACTTCGCTATGTCTAATTTTCTTAGCGTACGATCGATTTCGAGTTTCTCTATCCCCTCTCTCTTCTCCTTCTCTCTTGTATTTTCCTTTCTTTTTACATTCACGGATTTCACCGACGTTCACCAAGGCGTTCACAAATAAACGGCATTCAGCTTGTCGTTAAAGCATGAATATGAAGATTTCGTTAATTTGCTTTACCGGAATTCGTCGATTCAACTTACTTTTAACGGAATTATTATTAGGAAATTGTGCAGAATATTACACGAGAAGCTGAAGTATAATGTTACCACTATGGAGGTAATTATAACGGAAGAATAAAATTTCATTTATACGGTCGGCAAGTCGTTGTGGGGATAATTTGGTGGGTTATTAACCCTCCGTAGGCAAACGTATCTTCTGAGTTTGTAGGTCTAATTTTTTTACTGTTTTAGTCTTTGAAGAAATTCGAAAAAATCCTGGGATACTTATCAAAGTCTGTACTACATTGTAAGAGTATTTGTTAAGTCAAACATTTCAACCTTTTTCGATAAAAATAAAGATTCTTTTCGAAGAAATAGAAGAGTGAAATTTGGCTCAGGTGATCAATGACCCAGGTTGCCAACGGAGGGTTAAGTAGAATAGTCCACTTAAAATATGGTTCGATTAACTACTAACACGTTGTGAAAAGAATTAATTTTCACATTTATAGTATCAATTGTGTCAGGAGATAGCGTTTAAGAGTATTGTTGCTCGGTTATTGCATTTGTTGCAAAATACGCTGTATTGGATATATATAAAGTGGAATCGTAACATGAAAAGTTTGGGTCATGAAACTCTTATTGACCCATTTCCGAAATCCTGGCAGAATTTTCGTGCTGTTTCGAGTATTTCTGTCATGCAGATTCTTCTGTGACAATTCCCGCTTACTACCAACTCACGTTCAATGCCAACGCATTGAAAACTGCTTATTATATAAGTGGATTCAGTTTCTATAACTGCATTCAGGACAAGCTTATGAAATCACGATGGTGTTTTAACTTTAATTTCATTCAGAATCAAAATATTCGAAGTGCAATTTTACTAAAAATTTGTGCGGGTCTTATTCGGATTAAATCATACTTTTCTAAGTATGAAAACGTAATATTCAACAGACACAACTGAAAAATAAAAAAGATTTCGTAATTTTGCAAAAATAATTAATTATAACTATAAACCTAACGATGTTATGGAATATTTATGTGTTACATTCTAACTTTCGATAGACTATTTGAAAGGACCTATAAAATGGAAATATAATAAGATGTTTCGTAATTTTAGATACCGGAGAACAGCGAGTTATGAAAGAAACGAAATCGTGGTACAGTTGGTGAACGCGATATATTTGAAGTGGTAAATTAAACTATTAAACGGCGACACCGATCAATGTAGCCGTACGTCATTTGGTAAATTGATATTTAAATTTTCTGCTTACAATCTTTCATTAAAACTGCGCGGGATTAAACCTCCGTCGCTTCCTGCTCGATAGTAATTCACTTGATAAAAATTAACCTACAAATTTCAAGGATCGAGTGCAGAGAAATTTTTCAAATATACCGCCGTGGGGAAGAACCAATTCCGAGTTGACGAACGGCCCCTGAACGAGCCCTTATCTCCCTCAAACTTCTGTTTCAGTGCTCGGATTACGTGTACTTTGACGCCTGACCGATTTTACGACCTCGCTATATCGCTTCCACCAACTGTACGTTCCTGGTGTTGCTCTTACCTCCTCCCATTTCGGTTTGGTAGAGCTCTGTTTTTCGTCATAGACGTTCGTATCCTTCCGTTGACGACCCGGAAAAGCACGAGGCGTGTGTCGGACGCTGCACGGAAATTGTCGAATGAACGACGGAGGTCGGTAGAGGTCGGCCAACTCGTGCACGTTCCAACGTCGATTCTCTTTTTGATACATTGAGGCAACCGCTTGAAAATCATTTGGCCGGCTTTCCACTGCCTGCACGTGTTCTTACGGGATCTCCGGTTATTTCTCGTTGCGAACCGATCGACGCGGATCATGCAAATGGAAATATTAATATGCGATCTGGCGAACAACTTACGCAACTATTAATAACCCGTAATGTTTGTAGATAGTCCAGCGTTGTATTGTATTAGCAAGGGATAATGTAATACGATACTTGTCATTGGAACGACTTCAATATAGAAATATGCCAGTCCGATATCTATTTTTCAATTGTTTCCCTTTCAGAGGCTAAGATACAGGCAGAACTGAGTAATTAGATAGGTGTATTAATTATCGAATATTGCTCGCGTCTGGCCGTTCTACCACAATCACTACTTTCTCCCGTTCTTTCTTACAAAGTATCGATGATATTTGAAATTATTAGTTTCCAATATAATACAGTTTACCGGAGTGTAACCGACACAAGTTACAGATGCAAAGTGGATAATCAGATTTATCTACTAATTACCGAACGACAATTTTTGTAGGAATACCTTCTTTTAATTATCATTCTTAGCTTACCGAAGAAACGATACCGATAAATTTTACAGTTATTCACTTTTTACAATTTATTTTCACATTTTATTATGTTACCTCCAGTATTTCAAATTTCGAATTTAATACGTCTACTTAAAACCAACAAACGAGCCACTCAGAAGCCAAAATGATTAACTCGACTTTTACAAATTTTTCCAATTTTAGTCTCAAAGGATTGGTGCTTAATTTTTCATAAATAAAACAAATTATAATTCGATGGAGTTACTTTTGCTTCTGAATGGCTCAAACGATACTCATTTGTTCCGAATGCATTTATCTCCGAAAAGATTGAAACTCCTACACAGCAGATCCTAATATTATTGATAGTGTTACACTTTCGAGCAAGTCGCATAAGACGGGCAGCAATAATAGGCACTTGGTGCAATAGAGAATCTCTCTGTTATCGCTTAATGCCGTGTATGAATGGAACTCATAAATTCATTAATCAATTAAGCCCAATCGGTAGAGCGGAGTAACTCGGAAAAAGTCGATTAGCCTGATAACGTTGGCGTTAATGATGCGTGAACCTTGTTACAGGCACTGGTGAATCCGGCAAATCCACCTTCATTAAACAGATGAGAATCATCCACGGCTCTGGTTATTCGGACGATGACAAGAGGGGGTTCATTAAACTCGTATACCAAAACATTTTCATGGCAATGCAGTCCATGATCCGAGCGATGGACCTGCTCAGGATCGAGTACCAGGTATCTTCGAATATAGTGAGTATTTTTATCGATGACTGTATGACATGCTTTTTCTTAAACCGTTAATTACGATACTGAAATGCAACATGTTTCTTTCCGGTCGATTGTAGGAAAAAGCAGAACTCGTGCGAAGCGTGGACTTCGAGACAGTCACAACGTTTGAAAGTCCATACGTAGAAGCAATCAAGGATTTATGGGCAGATGGCGGCATTCAGGAGTGTTACGATCGTAGGCGAGAATATCAGCTCACAGATTCCGCTAAGTAGTAAGTACTGTTCTATGTATTTATCTTAAGGAGAGCGTATCTTGTTTTCTTGCCTATACAGCTCGACACCATTGTTCGGTTCTGGTAATAATTCGTCGATGATGTAATACCCAATATGTTGACCGTTGAACGAATTACATTCTGAAATGCGCGTACCAGACACACGGTATATGCTCGATACGAAACAGCCACACATTTTGCAACAGAAACGTTGAAAAAAAGAAAAAATGAAAAAAAAGAGAAGAGTTGCTCAGTTGAGAGATCCTGAAAAGTGTTTTCAATTATTTTCCACCATTTTCCATCCTGAGAACTTTTCTTTTCGATAAGTGCATTGCCTATGTGACATTCATGGTTTGCTCGATCTCTCTGTGCCTTCATTGTACGAGATTATATTTTGGGAGTGCTGTGCTTCTTCTCGCGTATCAGGTATTGAGAAGATAATGTTTCAGTTACCTAATGGAGATAGATCGAGTCGCGGCATCAGACTACCTCCCCACAGAACAGGACATTCTTCGCGTGAGAGTGCCCACCACTGGTATAATTGAATATCCTTTTGACTTGGAAGAAATCCGATTTAGGTACGTCTCGTCATGCAAAGAAAGGAAGAAGCTGCCTGTGCCTGTGATCCACTTACATCGGACTCTTTCTGCATCGTGCCTGCATCCGTTGTGACTCACCAATTTCACTTCTGTACATGAAATCCATCACTTGTTACATTTCTTTTACTTTCTCAGTGACGTTTCTGAAGTTCTCTATTGATCCTTCTGGTTTCATGATGTACAATAACAGAGTCGTATGTATCGAAGAAACAAGAGTAGAAAATAAGGAAGGCTAACTTTTTTCCCGCGTATTTTCATATATTTCCTTTTCTTTCGTTTTTTTTTCTCTCTCCTTTTTCTTTCTCGCTAGCAAACGAATACACGTTGTTTCTTCGCTCGGTTTAATTATATAATTGACGAGAGGCGAGAGGTAACTTTTGCATAGAAAAATACCATGTAAACTGATCGGTTGACGTATCATAAAACCGGAAGAGTAAATTAATGAACTTTGCATTATCGAACATTCTTACAGGCAGGGACAACGAGCATGTGTGAGCTGTTTTGCGATATTCCTCTCCTTATAATCACCTTTAATACATGCATGGCATGCACTATCAGACTGTGGCTTCGTTTGTTTTGCAGTTATCTTAGTGATCTAGAGCGTATCGAAAAGCCCGACTTCCTTCCTACCGAACAAGACATTCTTCGGGCTCGAGCTCCTACTACTGGCATTATAGAATATCCGTTTGATCTGGACTCCATCATATTTAGGTACTAACACACATTACTTGAACTTGACCGTACTTTTAGAAGTAAATACTGTACTAACTTGGAGTAATGGATCAGTACCGAAATATTCGTGTGAGTTTTTAATGCGAGAAAAGCCTTTGTTTCATATGATTTGTACGTTTTTCTTTCTTTTTCTTTTTGTTTTGTTTACACATAGTCGTAAAGCCATTTTATTTACGTTAACAATTTAGTTTGATCGTATATTTTCTTAAGTACCATGCTAATCCATTGTAATTTGTAATGGTAATTATATACAGCAGGGACCTTAGCTATTTTAGGGTGATAGGCTGTAGTTTATAACTTGTGGTAGAAAGTAGTATAATAGTACATAGTATACAACATAATGGTAGGAGTAGTTACAATTTTGTGCCTTAGAATACGTTCGCAATACATTAACATAGGAATAACTACTTGTTTAAAAATAAAATTATGCTATTTGCTACATATTATACTGATTCTCTTTGTTTCGTTTTTCTTTTTCAAGTTTTTTACTCTTCTTTTGCTTCGACCAGCTTATTGTTTGCATGTTTTTTTTAATAGAATTTATATTCACAAAGTATTATTTTGTAAATATCACTACGTTTAATTAGTGATCGTATTAGTGATTTAAATTCTGTTATGTAAAATTAGGAATTACTTGTGAATTATACTTGATAATTGTTAAAAATTGAAATAAAAGTTTGCATTTTACTTTGGTTAACATGTAGCAAATATTTCGAAATATGTTTAAACGTTGAACAATATTACATGAATCTATTTTACAGGATGGTAGACGTTGGTGGACAGAGATCAGAAAGAAGGAAGTGGATTCATTGTTTTGAGAATGTCACTTCTATCATCTTTTTAGTAGCCTTAAGTGAATATGATCAAATTTTGTTTGAGTCAGAAAATGAGGTAAATATAATCACAAACTTCTTTTCTTACATTTAAGCTTACCGTTATTGATAAATTACAATTTCACGAATAATAGAATTAATATTGTTAATTGTTATTTGTTACTTTTCAGAATCGAATGGAAGAAAGTAAGGCATTGTTTAAAACAATTATTACATATCCTTGGTTTCAACAATCCTCCGTTATTCTTTTCTTAAATAAAAAAGATCTGCTTGAAGAGAAGATTATGTATTCCCATCTTGTTGACTATTTTCCTGAATACACTGGTAGGTACCTAATATTAATATCTACTTTGAAAATTGTACTATTGATCAAATTTACATATATAATATTAATCTTTATGAATCTTTAAACTAATACGTACAGCAACGTGTAAAAAAGAAAAAAATTGATATTGATATATTATTATATGCATTGAAATCTAAAAATATTAATGTAGTGAAATTATAATTTTCAGCTTTTTACAAATTAATTCTATTCAATATTATGTTTCTACAAATTTTGTTTATATGTACATACTGATAAAAGTGGTTGTTTAGCGTATAAAATAATACAAAATTACATTATTTACAAATTATCTACATCCCCTCTTATAAAATAAATATCACAAGACATGGAATATTATTAAACACCTTAGGAAAAATTGTCAATAATTGTTCAGAGGATCAGGTTTTATAATTATTTCGTATTATTTTGGAGTGTATTATTCAGTTTATTATTAGTAAATGAATAAGTTTTATGGTATAGGCCCTAAACAGGAAGATGTACCAGCCAGAGAATTCATCTTAAAGGTGTATCTCAGTTCGAATCCTGATCCTGACCGCATGTGCTACTCTCACTTCACGTGTGCGACAGGTCTGTTTATGTACAACACATCCTGGCAAAAATTGTAGATGTTTTGTAGAAAAGTTTCTGAATCGAGTCAGTAACTATGAATCATAAAGTCGTAACTTATATTCTTGAATCTTAACCCTTCCTGTATCATAGAGGAGTTATTTTTTGTATCTCAGTATTATGCCGTTCGTTTTATCAATAATAAATAATACAAGTTTTTTATAATACAAAAGCAACTTACATACATACATTATTATAGATTTAGTTTCTGCTTTAGGTAAATTTATTTCTTTTACAATTGATTTCCAAAGCATTTTATATAAACATTTCTTAGTTTTTCTTACAATAATATAATCATTCAAATGTATTATAATCTAACAAAGTGTAGATATATATATATTCAACTTATATAAGACATTTATCTGGTTGGTAAAGCTTTCAAAAGGCTTCATTGAGTTTTTGAGCTAATTGAATAATGTGTCTTTTAACATTCATTGGATTTGGATAAAAACAGTATTGATTTAGTAAAACAGATAAAATAGAATTTCATTTGACATCAGTCAAATTGCAACATTGAAATAATAATACTCCTTTTTCTATTTTGTATTTTACTTTAATACTTTTTTTTTTTAAATATGTAAATATATTTGTTAACTTATCCATGTAATTTTCGTTTTAATCTTTACATATAATTTTAAGATATACTAGTTTATACATTATAGTAGAACAATTGAATTTGATTTTAGACTTTTATTATTTACACATTCTTTTATGTTCCCGTAATTATTTTATTATAGGTAGAATAAATCTTGTAATTTTATGCTGTCAGTGCTAATTAATAATTGATTTGATTTCAATCAAATTCTAAAATAATATCCCACTGATAATTTAATAATGATAGTATGCGCTAGTGTAAATATAAAAGTAGTGTCAATTCGTATGTTTGCTTGTATATTTCATAGGTCCCCAAAAAGACGCTTTAGCTGCCAGAGAATTTATTTTAAAGATGTTTATCAACTTGAATCCCGATGTTGAGAAGATCATATATTCGCACTTTACGTGTGCTACAGGTAGGCTGTTAGTAAGTGATGCTAATGCGCATTTGTTTTTGCTTTTTAACATTATGTATGTTGTATCATACAAGTTGCATGCTGCCCGCATTCTCCATCATAAGGTACATAATGTTTATACTAATATTTATTTAACACAGGAAAAACAATCTATTGTATCTAGAGAATTAGTAAAATAATTATTTACATAATGAACATATATTGTATAATTTAATTACAATAAATTTGTACTTTTTATATAAATATTATACATTTCGTACTTATTATTAATCATAGGTAGTATAATAAATAAGCTGCATATCTATTTTCAATATTAGATTGATTTTCCATATTTGAAATTCATATTTATTTATAATGACATTTTGTTTGTCATTGCATGCTGCGTTTATGGGATCATTCAACAGATACGGAAAACATCAAGCTTGTATTTTGTGCTGTAAAAGATACAATTATGCAAACTGCACTTAAGGAATTTAATCTTGCTTAATGTGATTGTGGACAATTTTTGCACTTCTATATAATCTTTAGATAATGTTACACTTGTATTCCTTTCATTGAAAGCATACACAGATTTGTTACAAAATGGATATTAATGTTTGATCATATGCTACTAAATCGAAAGTAAAAATAGACTAACTTATTTTTTGTGTAAGATTGTGAGACTGTCAATCTTTTTTCCCTATATAATATTACATATACATAAGTCATTTTGTCAAAATAATTAATTCCAAACAAAAACTGCAATCAAGGAAAAAAATATTTAGTTTATTAGTATTACAAATTGAGTAATCTTATTGTTACTGGTTGAACTATTATGTTACTGCAAAAGTGAAAAGAAAAAGGTATTTTTATTTATTTAGGAAAATTCCAAGTAATTGTCATGAAATGTGATATATTTTAATCATGTAGCAAAACTTGGGGAGTTGTAGTATTAGTATGATGAATTTCATAATTATACTTAATTTTAATTCACAAGTGTCAATCATATAGGGTCATCAGAAGAAATACTATAATCTGCACAAAGTTTTAATGCATGGATTGTTACAAGCTGTACTTGTTTGCATATTGTTTTATTATAATTTAATAGTATTTTAAGTTTCTAAATTTAATTAAACAACTTTATTTTGCTCAGAAAACTGTAAAC